TGGGAACGACTGAGCGCAGATTAAAAAAAAAAAAAAAATGCCCTAAGAGATGTGTGCAAACTGTAGATCACCACATCTTGCCACTCAAAGAGTTTTGGAGAATCTGAAGGCTCACACCGACCCTTGGGGGCACTTTAGTGGTCCAGCCGTGAATATTTTTTTCCCCTTGGCCTGCGATTGCAATTTTTGCTTCTAAAAGTCCCTAGCCACTTGCTGTCCTTTTCACGAGGCTTAACATCGGCTGCCTAAGGCAGCTGTTTTACTCTGCTGAAAAGAGAAGTGGACGCAGACAAAGCACGCAAGAGGCTAGACCACAGTGATTTCAGGAAATGTCCCCTCCCGACCGTTGTGCCTACCTATGGAACAGTCATCCCCGGAATAGCCATTGTGGCACAAGCACGCTCCATCCTGACATTCTCCGTGGCCACTGCAGTCCTCTGGGCACGCCAGCTGACTGCAGTCAGGTCCGGTGTAGTCTGGGTGGCAGGTACACACACCTCCCGGCAGACAGTGGCCTCTCTGGTTACAATCGTTGGGGCAAGTCTTGCTGCCACAGGCCGGTCCTGTGAAGCCCGGCTCGCACACGCAGCGTCCGTTACGGCATTCTCCACGCCTGTTGCAGTTGCTAGGGCAAGCCCGGGTCGCACAATCAGCGCCACTGTAACCAGGGTTGCACACACACCGTCCCGAGATGCATTGGCCGTGTCCGTGGCAGTTCTGGGGACAAACTGGGTCAGAGCAGGACGGACCCACATATCCGGGGAAGCAAGTGCAGCGCCCATCCACACAGCGCCCTTGGTCATTGCAATCTTCGGGGCAAGAGGGGGGCTCTTCGCAGCTGGCCCCCGAGTAGCCGGGTTGGCACTGGCAGTGCCCGTTGACGCATCGGCCACGCTCTGGGCCACTGCAGCCTCCGGGGCAGACCGGTTCGGCACAGGTGGGGCCGCCCCAACCCGACTCGCATTCGCACAGGCAGCGAGAGAGGTCGAAGGAGCCATGGTGCGAACATAACGTGCGAATGTCTGTTTGGCCTAGGGGGAAGAGAGAGACATAGGAAGGTAGAGAAAGGGGTGTGTGTTTAGAAATGCACCTGTAAATCGCTTTATTACTGCGTTTATAGCCCAAGGAAGGAAGTGCGTGAGAATCAGCTGCTTGTTTTATCCTCACAAGAATGACTGAATGGAAATGGAACTTGCTGCTGGGTGTGTTTCTTGTCAGGACTACCTCGCAAGGCTGACAACCCCAGACGGAGAAAGAGAAACCCAAGCTTGGAGTTTCATGTCTGAATTGAACAGAACAGCAACTGAAGCCAGTCTAAGCATATATATACTCTAAGTCTCCAAAACAAAGTTTTCCCCTTCACAATGAGAGCTACTTCCATTTAAATTATAATCATTATTGTTAGACATCTATCTATCTATCTATCTATCTATCTATCTATCTATCTATCTATCTATCTATCTATCTATCTATCTA